GCCGCCCCGGCCCCGCCGCCGCCGCCCCCGGGGATGCTCGCGCGGCCCGGCTCCTTCCCACCGCCCTGGGCTCCTGTTAGCAGCGCCCAGAGCTCGGGGGAGAAGAGAACCTCACCGCTAACAGCGCCCCCGCCTTAAACCTGCTCGCCCCTCCGGCCTTGCATTCATCAGACTTAATTCTGGCCATTTGCCTTTTTTTTTTTCCTGTTTTCTTTTTTTTTTCTTACCCCCTTCTCTCTGTACTTTTGTATTTAATCTAACTCATCCCTGTCTTTCCCCGACTCTGCTTCCCTTCCTACCTGTAGCAGCTTCTCCCCATTAGCTCCAGCATGAACAGCACAGTGCTCCCTTCATTTACAGCCCTACTTCTTCTCCATCACCCTCTTTTTGCTCTTTTCCCTTCCTTCCTTCCACCCCCCTGGCCTTCTCTCTTTCCTCTACTGTTAAATTCTCCTTCCATCACTGCTTTCTTTACACATCATTCCTCCTCTTTCTTCTTCTTTCCCATTCATGAAACCSAGCCCTCACTTCCACACTTTTCCCATTTCTAGCACTGGGTTCTAACCCATTGCCACAAATAACTCCAGGCTCTTGGCTCCTCTGGGATGATCCCCTGAGTGCAATCAAACAGCAATGGGCTCCAGGTGAGTTATTGCCACTAGTTATTGCCTTTCTATAGGCAAATGGGCACCTCTAGTTTCCAGGGCACATGGAGGTGGCTCACAGTGACAAACCCAGAGTGACAAATTGGAGATGTGCAGCAATCCCACATCTGCCCATCACAGGGATCCCAAGACCCACTAAGGGCTGGAGTTTGTGCTCCAAGACCAGAAACCAGATGAGCTCCACTGCAGGGAACTGGTTCCTGTTTGGCCTCCAGCAAGGACAGTTTCTCAAGCCAACCAGTTCCCCTGCTGGGGAAGCTGGAATTGTGGGGATTGGTTTGAATGTGACCCCCTGGCCCTGCAGGCAAAACCAGTGCTGCAAACCCCATTGCGGCATGAACTCCTGCCCGCAGCTGGGCATGACTAACAGCGACAAGGGACAGTCTGCAGGAGACGTGAGCTGGTGACTCACGACAACAATTTCCCAGTGACTGCTAATCCACCTGAGTTTATTTGTAGTTGCACATAGAAAAGAAGATGTCAAAACCCCAACAAAGCATTCTTATTGCTAGAGCTTATGTTATTTCCACAAGCTAATTAACGATCAATTCATCAGCCCATTGAGGTAAAACAGCCTTCCAACGTACCTTGGTCACCAGAGGTTAAAACAATGACATGGGCAGGATGGCAAAAGAAAACTTTTTTTTTTCAAYGAGGGAAGGAGTAGATACTGAATTAACTGAGTCCATTGCTGATACGTGTACCGATTTCCAAACCTTACCATTGTGTATATGAATTTCTTTTCTCCTGTTTTTGAAAATATTTGCTGGGGAAAAAAAAGAACTACCTACATAGTTATAGGAAATTACACATAAGGTATTATAGCTAAAAAGTATTTGGTGTTAGGTTGTTTTAGCCCTTAGGGGTAGGAATGGTGTACAAAGATACGTTCAGTCATCCAAGCTCCCACTTGTTTTCTTAAGAKGTTTGTGCAGGGTTGCTCCTGAGGTGTTGCTGTGCTCCTAGCAGAATGACGGAGGAACAGATTTCAGCCATATCCAGTTTTTCTCTGATTTAAAGTATGCAATACAGCCATCAGCTCAGTGGTTTTTAGAGATGAAAGGCAAGGGTGGCTTCAAATGCTTGCTTTGCTACTGAATGCATGACTTTGGGCACTCCTAGGACAACAGAAATTAGAGCTGTGAGGGACGTTGCCTCATCTATGCCCATACCCAAAGATCTRCTCAGCTTATGACTCAATCTTCGTCTCAATACCCCTGCCAGTAAAGTGCAGGTAGTATCTATCTTCTGCCAAGCACATTGAGACTTTTGCATGAAAAATCCTCCTGTAGGAACATAGACACTATGATAAAGAAGAACTTTCTTCAAATCACAGCCTTTAAATAGATGCATTCAGTTTATATTAAGCCTAGGTTCTTCCTGGCATAAATGCAAATCTTTATGTTATCATTTTTGTGAATATAGAATTCCACCTGGTTTTTAATTCCAGGGAATTGTTAGCTAAACACCAATTTTAACATTTTGAAAGCTACCAATAAATTTTCCAAAGCGAAATATATTATTCTTGGTTTATAACTGTTATAATGGATTTCTATTTTCCACCCGGAGTAGCATTCAACAGAAAAATGAATGGCATTAGCAGGGTAAAACGCACTGTATCCTGAAAAAGTTTCAGTTGCTAATAAGGTATTTTAGGGGCACTTGAAGAAGTTGGCATACAACTTCCTTAGTACAAGTCACTTTAAAGGAAGTGTGCACAAGTGGAGGGTTTTCAAGGCAACAGCATGAACCATAACCCAGATTTCTGTTTCTCCCTAAATGAGGTCTCTGTTTTTGATGGTTTTTTTTTTCCCCTCCCACTTTATTTCATGGCTCCTACCCTTTTTCAGGGAAGTCAGTGACAGCTTGACCATCGATTTCAATAGCCTCAGGACCAAGAATACCGACAAAACTGGTGTTCCTATTAAAAACTCAAAAGCAGAAAAGGAAACTTGTCTCACAAGTAGAAACCTCATTAACCTGACAAGACCCACAGTGAGGTGGTGATGTAGTGGGTAGGCGTCCGACAGGCTGTCAGGAGACACAAGTTTTGTTTTCCTATTGCTTGCTGCCTGAACAGTTTTGGGACCAAAATGGGTCCCAAAAAGCAGGTTTACTTTCTGCCTTTTTCGCCTCCTTGGCCACTCTTTTCCTTGTCAGGAGGCAGTCAGCACTTGGAGATTGTGATTCCTACATGCAGAAACCAAACAAAATATAACCATAACAGATTAAAATAAGCTATTGAGAGCTAGTCAAAGCTTATGTGCACGTTGGCTTTTAAGTACAAAAGCACAGACTTTCTCTGCCTGAGCCTGGAGAGCACCTCCACTATTTAGCAGCAAAAGTGGGCTGCTATCAGGTGGAACAGCCTCTAGAAGCAGGCACAGCATATGTTGTGTGTCATGTGAAGCAGGAACCTTGGCTACGCTGAAACATGCCTACCTTATGTCTACATCTGCCTACAATCATTCCAGATTTTCACCTGAGTGCATTTTAAGCACAAGCTTAGAGACACTCTAATTTATCTCTAAGCAGGGCAATTTTACTGCATGACCATATCCCAGGTGGGATTCAGGCAAACCTATGATTTTGTGCCTTCATGGAAAACTTTGTGAAGACATTTTGCGGGAAARTGTTTAAGATATCTACACTATCTAAGTAGTAAAAGGATGGGGAGGGAAAGGAGGGATTCTAGTTTAAAGGGTCACGGATGAAGCATTCTTTGACTTTCAATGCTGTGGACTGGATTTCTGGACACCGAGAACTAATGCATCTTTTATTGCTTGGCACAGAAGAATAGAAGGTTATTGTAAAGATATCAATAACAGTTTTCTGAAGTGGTTTTCAGTTGGCCCTATTACAAAAGATATGTACATTCTGCAGAAATCATTAAAATGCACTATGTATTTGCAATATATAGAACAATTTATACGTCTATAAGGCGTAGCAGAAATCTTCCTGCTAGTCAGAAGGGAAAGTCACTCAGTTATGATGTAATCAGAGGCTTATATTTCACTCTATAAGGTTTGTACCAACATCAATAACTCCACTAAAGAAGAAAGATTTTTTTATATATATTCTGAAAGAAATACCACAAAATGAATTTTGTTTCTAAACCGCGGTATATAAATGCTGGTCTGCAGACATATGATGTGGTCTACAACCACATTGCCCAAGCTGTGCYTTCGTCAGCTCTTGCAAGCAGAGCATGAGACTGGCTGGGTCAGCAATTCAGAAAAATGCCTCCCAGGAGAATGAGCCTTGGGAGGAGGTCAGAGCCCTTTGCAACTGGGGAGGTGACGTTCTTGCCTCTGGATTATAAGTCAGCAGACCCCRTGCTGTGCTCAAGGCTGCAGGAGATGTTGTATCTCTCACACAGCATCAAACTAGGATCTTCCTGACCACTTTCAGGCAGGCACCCTGAAGGGACAGTTTGCAAAAGCAGGGTTGCTGAAGCAAGCAGCCAGAGCAGCTGAATTGCTACCTCCCTCCTCAAATACAAGTTAGATACAGCAGTTGGCTCCCACCTTTTCATGGATAGCCACTTTCTGCCCTGGAAAACAGTCCCTAGTTTCAGTCCAGAAGAACCTGGACTTTGTTAATGGGGAAAAGATTATAAATAGAGGGTTGAAAGATTTGTAGAGCTAGGAAAGACTTTTTGGGTTGAGATGCAGGTAAACAATTCCATTACAAATAAGAGCCTTGCTTCTGCACACAACTCTGAGTTACTCAGGTGGGAAGGTGCTTAGGTCCTCATCCCATGCCCATTGCTCTGGTGTGATGGTTTCACATCACACTAAGCACGTCTTTGTAGCTCACCCTGGAGCCCAATGTGGCCCTGGCCAGATGTCATTTGATTACAGCAGTGGGCTATACGTGCACACTGCTATCCTGGGACCTCCTGGGACCAAAGCCACAYGGAAAACAGTCCTTGCAAATCCAAAGGCAGAACCCTACGTCGATATACGCAGTCAGACAAGCATTTTGCTACAATTCACCTGTCCAAACAGCCCCACTGCTAGAGGGAGACATGCAGCAAGTGCACCTAGAGAGTCTGCCAATAGCTGCATTGAACACACGAGGTAGAAAGCTAAGCATGACTAGAGAGTGACCTGTTGCTGGATCCAAAGGCTGGGGAATTCAGCTGTTTTGCTGGA